ACTGAGGGAAAGGTCCTTGTTCAGAAAATTTATACGAAGGACAATCCAGTTGATATGCTTACGAAGCATGTTCCGGTTTACAAGTTCAAGCAGTGCTTGGACTTGGTTGATGTTCATTGTTGGTGATTACCCGTTGGGGCTTTTGTGAAGAAGGTGGAGCAAGTTTTGTTGGGACATGCCAAGGTGGAGATTTGTTAGTTTGGCAAGTCCCATAGTCCCACATCGGGAAAATCAGACTTGTTGTCTCGTCTTGGAACTATAAATAAGGGCCTGAGCTTTGATGTTAGACACACCACAAGAAGTACCACAGACACCACAAGAAGTACAGCAGGCATCACAAGAAAACCTGCTTATGGTTTGAAGTCTTCTTGTTTAGGAAGCTGAAGGTGTTTTATGGCATAGGAACATTTCCTAAGGCATTTGTAAGTGTCCCTCTTTTATAGTAGTAATTTGCTCCTCTTTCTTCCGTGGATGTAGGTCAAAGTCAATTGACCGAACCACGTATATCTGGTGTTCTGGTGTTTTATTTGTTCTTGTCGCTTTTATTATTTCCGCTTTATTGTCTTTGTTGTGTTGCCAAAATTACCCTTTGGTAAATATCCTGGGGCTAGCTCTAACAATTTTGAGTATTGTAAGCCATAATCTTTGGTTCATTTAAGGTACCCAAGAACTCTTTCAATAGCCTTCCAATGCTCTACATTTGGATTGCTAGTAAATCTACTCAATTTGCTAACTACAAATGCTATATCAGGTCTTATGTACTGTGTTGCATACATAAGACTTCCTATAGCACTTGAATATTCTAATTGAGTCACTGTTCTTCCAACATTCTTGACTAATTTGATACTTGGGTCAAATGAGATATTTGCTTCTTTGATTTTTAAGTGACTGAATTTCTCCAATACTTTCTCTATGTAATGAGTTTGACTTAAAACATATCCCCCACTATTTCTTTTTACCTTGATACCTAGTATAGTATCAACTTGCCCAAGATCTTTCATCTTAAATGTTGAAGATAGAAACCTCTTTGTTTCTACAATACCTTTCATGTTGTTGCTCACTATTAGCATATCATCAACATAAAGGCAAACTATCACCATATAGTCATCACAAGTTTTGAGATAAACACATTTATCTGCAATATTATGAACAAATCCATTAGAAAGAATTATTGCATCAAATTTCTCATGCCATTGTTTTGGAGCCTGCTTTAAACCATATAATGACTTAATAAGTTTACACACTTTATGTTCATTTCCCTGTAGAACAAAACCTTCGGGTTGTTCCATATATACCTCCTCATCGAGGTCTCCATTTAGAAATGTCGTTTTGACATCCATTTGATGAACATAAAGATAAAAAATTGATGCTAAAGCAAAAATAATTCTAATAGATGTGATCCTAGCCACAGGAGCATATGTGTCAAAATAATCTATTCCTTCCTTTTGTCGAAATCCTTTAGCAACTAACCTTACTTTGAACGTTTGGAGAGTACCATTTGTATGATACTTCCTACAAAATATCCATCTACAACTAATAGGTTTTGAGGCAAAAGGTAAATCGACAAGTTCCTAAGTGTGGTTTGACATAATAGAATCCATCTCATCATTAATAGCATCTTTCCAAAAAGTAGTATCACGAAAAGCCATAGCTTCTTTAAATGTTTTAGGATCATCTTCCACTTGTAAAACAAGAGGAATTGTTTTTAATACTCTCTCATTAGTTCCTTCTACAAGGTAAAAAGAAATACTTTGAGAATCAATCTCATCCGATCTTAATGTTTTTGCTTTTCGTACATGAGTGCTTCTCCTTAATTTATAAGATTGCTCTTCAACCTCTTGTGAACTTGATTGATGTCCAATCAAAGGAATTTTAGGTTGCTCACCAACCTTTTGAGATTTCTTCACTAGTGACTCTTCACTAGTTGGAGGATGAACATTATTACTAGAAGTCAATAAATGTTCAAAGAACTCCACATCTTGATATTCTATTATGATATTAGACTCCAAATTAAGAAGTCTATATGCTTTGCTATTTGAGGCATAGCCTATAAATGCATATTTGATTCCTCTAGGTCCCAATTTTATCCTTTGAGGATCATTATTTTTACAATATGCAAGACACCCCCACACTTTAAAATAACCAATGTTAGGTTGTCTTCCTTTCCATAACCCATACGGAGAGATCTTATTCTTTTTAGAGGGAATTCTATTTAAGATATGACATACAGCCAATAAAGCTTCTCCCCACAAATTATAAGATAATTTAGCATGCAACAACATAGCATTAATCATCTCTAGATAAGTTCTATTTTTTCTTTCTGCTAATCCATTATGCTCAGGTGTTCTAGGTGCTGAACATTCATGAATTATGCCATGTTGTTCACAAAACAAGTTAAATTCATTAGGAAAGTATTCTCCTCCTCTATCACTTCTTAAAGCTTTAATTTTCTTCCCCAATTGATTTTCAACTTCTGCTTTATATGCCTTAAAAGCATTAAAAACATTATATTTATGTTTCAATAAGTACACATATGTGAATCTAGATATATCATGTATAAAAGTAATAAAATATCTATTACCTCCTCTCGTTAATATACTATTTAATTCACATATATCAGAATGTATTAAATCTAACAAATTAGTATATCAGAATGTATTAAATCTAACAAATTGTTGGGAAAAAAATACGACAAAGAAGAGGATAAAAAACACTATGGAAACAAATAACAAACACAAGATCAAGAATACTTTAGGAAAGATATTTAGGCTTGAAACGTGTATAAACACTTTCGAAGGGTTTCTTCATCATCTTTGATTTAACACAAATTTCACATTTATTAAGATCATCAAAATGATAATTTATTAAGCCACACTTAACCATTCTTCTAATCATGCTAATTTTAATATGTGCTAATCTATCATGCCATAATGAATAAGAATCAACAATATAAATAGAAGCAACATCTTTATTAACTTTAGAATCATTGTCAACAATAGATAATTTGACCATTCCCTCAGCGGAATAGCTTTTTCCAACAAAAGTTCTATTACGGGATAGAATTAACTTCCCGGATTCAAATACAAATTTAATTCCAGGTTTGCTAAGGAGATTCCCACTCACTAAATTTCTACTCATATCCGGTACATGAAGAACATTAGTAAGAGTGACTTTCTTACCTGAAGTGAAAGCGAGTTCCACATTTCCCTTGCCAATCACCGAACGAACTTCATTTCCCATTTGAATCTCTTGCCCTTCTGTGACTTCTTTGTAAGTCTTGAAGAGTCCCTTATCATAGCAAACATGGACGGTAGCACAAGTATCGTACCACCAACCAAAAACCTTGCCAAATATGGCATTCACTTCGCTCATCATAGCGATTATATTATCATCTCCCTCAACGGAGTTGACTTTTGGTTTCTGGCCTTTTTTAAATCTGCAATCCCTAGCAAAATGACCAGGTTTTTCATAAACAAAACAGCCTCCACTCTTTGGCTTCTTAAATTTTCTTTGATCCCTTTTGGGGCCAAAATGATTCTCCTTGTTTTGTTTGCTTTTGTTGGAATTCTTAGGTTGATTCACAACATTTGCTTTTATATTGCAAAAAGAGTTCTCTCTCTTATCTCTCATCCTCGATTTCTCCTCGATTCGAAGATGGTTTTGAATTTGCTCCAAAGTGATATCCTTGGAGTCATGCAAAATCTTCTTCCTATACCCTTTCCAAGATGAAGGCAACTTGGCTATTACAGCCCTTACTTGAAAAGGTTCAGGAAGTTCAATTTTTTCAGCCTTCAATTGATTAACAATGACCTGCAACTCATGTACTTGTGCCAAGATTGGCTTGCCATCCACAAACTTATAATCAAAATATTTAGAAATTAAAAATTTCTTTGTACCTTCTTCCTCGGCATGATATTTGAATTCCAAAGCATTCCAAATTGCTTTTGCATATGGTTCCACCGTATAAAGATCATAAAGCCGGTCCGAAAGAGCATTGAGAATGTGTCCTCTACACATGACTTCATCTTCATTTCTTTTCTTTTGTTCAGCCTTGATTTCATCGGTGTCATTGTCGGTTGGATCAGGAATTGGTTGAAGATTCGGATCAAGCACATAGAAGATCTTCAAAGCAGTCAACATGAACTTCATCTTGTCTTGCCAACGGGTAAAATTCGTTCCATCAAAACGAACAAAATCTTGATTCAATAATTTGATGGTATTTGTAGCCTCCATAGTGAATTTGTATAAACTCACAAGATATCGTTTTCAGATTGTTGGGAAAAAAAAAACGATAAAGAAGAGGATAAAAAACACTATGGAAACAAATAACAAACACAAGATCAAGAATACTTTAGGAAAGATATTTAGGCTTGAAACGTGTATAAACACTTTCCTAAAAATAATATTTGCACCCTCTTCTTAATAAAATTACTATGGGTTTGATGCAAATAGTTTTAGTGGATATGACAAGCCTTTAGAAGATCTGTATTGAGCAAACAATAAAGAATCTTCAAAGAGGAATTAGAGAATGTCTAACTCAATCACTTGGAGAGTAAAGAAGAAGAGCATGAATAAGTTGTATGTGTAATTTACCCTCAAATAGCTATTTATAGATATTTTCTTAAAAGACACCACTTTTGAAAATTAACTATTTTCTCAAAAGATACCACCATTGAAAATTATAACTATTTTCTCGAAAGATACAACCTTTCAAAAATAACTATCAAAAAATAAAAGAAAACACCTTTTCAAATAAATCTTTTGAAAAGAAATTCTTTTTTCTTTTTAATTTCAACAATTTATAACAGTGGATTCGTTTATGAATCGATGGTTGTCCAGTTTGGCTCTCTCTCTCTCTCTCTCTCTCTCTGCAGGCTCTTCGCGGCGCCCAACTAATACTGCAAACGCCCTTGCACCACGTAGTTTACGCCATCCGCTTACTTTGCATGACACCACTCTTTTGCATGCGGTGGAGCATTCACGCGGCTATATATGCCTGCAGGAGCTTCCTAAATCGTACCACCCTTCGTCTTCTCCAACTATCTTGAGCGCCATGGCTCGCCTTCTCGTTCTTCTGGCGGTCATCGCCGCCGTCTGGGTAGGGGCTGCCGCAGCGATCCTGCCGTGCGAGAGGATGACGCAGATGATCGTACCCTGCGCTCCGTACTTGACGAGCCATGTGGCCGTTCCGGGAGTCGGGTGCTGCAATGGCGTGCGCGCCATGCCGGGGATCGCCCAGACCCACAAGGACCGGGTGGTCATCTGCAAATGCCTCAAGATCGTCGCCGGCCACTTCCCCGGGATCGACAACAAGCGTGCCATGGGTCTCCCGCGCCTGTGCGGCGTCCGCCTCAACTTCTCCTTCTCCCCCTCCACCGACTGCGACAAGTGAGACCCTTCCTCTCTTCACCAGCGGTACTCGAGGTCACATCACCGTTACATGGCTCTTTTCCCACTTGCAGACTCGCAGCAGCTGAGGGACTCGAGAACCATCTGCATTAGATCTTACGGAGGTCTTCATGAACGACATGTCTAAAGCCAGTAGTCACATGTAGTCAGTGGAGGATCTCTTCAATCTGATACCACTTCACTTCTTAATGGAGATCTTCTAAAAATCTTTGCATGAACTCCAATCCTTCAGCTCCATATGTGAATCAGATACTATTTTATTTGGGTCAAAAGGTTATTATAATTCATTAAGCTGGGGTTTGGTCCTTCCAAAGATGAAGGGGTCCAGTAGACATATAATGGATAATATCCATAATTATTGATATTATATATAAAAAAAATTTATTTATTGATTTTTCTTTTTTGATTTATTTAACTTATTCTTTATTTTTTTTCTCACTGTTCTAAGAGAAGACAAAAAACCTTTTTTGTATTATTGGCATAAGCAGTGGGTTTTGTTAATTTCATTGGAATATTAGGCCATAGATGGATATATTCCTAAAAAAGAGATCTCAAGAACTTACTGCTTGAGCAGTAGTTTTTGGGTTATCTCGAGAAGCGAGTTTCTGAGCTTTTCTTGTTTAGATCATTGGTCTTAATTCATAGAAAAAAAATGAACGTAAACTAATCGCTACAACTTCATCATTCTTGTCAAAAGAGTGTTGCAGGTTCAATTCTTAATATCACATCTGAATGCATAGAAAATGGCTCATAGATGCAGCAATCATCATGCACAGAAGCTATAACTTGCAGTATATGCAGCTGGGGTGGTAACATGGTGTGGAGACTCCAAGTAGTCTTATTAGCTCTCAGACCCAAATGAAGAGAGAAGATGACTGTTCCTAGTAGTCTGTGCAGCGATCTCTCTCCGTCTCCCTCTCTCGTTGCGCATCAGCGATATCCTCCGGTGGGGATGACATGATCCGCATTCCGTATCTACCATCCATCAATCCTCAGGGATGCTCTCCAGCATCGGTCGCCACGCATCACTGCTCGATCCTTGTTGTCCGGCCTCTGTTCTTCTTTGCAGCTCGCTCACGATCTTGGCCACCATCTCCTCCTCGCCGCGGACGTACATGGCCAGCAACTGAGCTGCCTCCTTCTTGCTCACCATCACCTTCAGCCTCATGGCTCCCTTCTTCTCACGGTCGTCTTCCTGCTTCCCTGGTGAGTTCTTCGGCTTCTTCGACGTACGAATCCAGCGTCTTGGCGAGCATAAAACAGGGAGCTTTCGTCTGCCAGTCTCGGAAGCCATGGTACTCTCAGCTTCCTGAGCCAAGCAGCCAAAGAACTTCCTCATGGGGATACAAGGAAAGAGAGAGAGAGAGAGAGAGAGAGAGATGGCGAGCGAGCATAAAAAGTATAGGAAGCGAAACATAAGAGGCAATTTATAGACAACATTTACTTCACTGTTCATTGAATATGATCGAATGAGATATGTGGTTTGACAGTCAACAAGAAGGGCACACGAGGCAGCCCGCCAAGGATGAAGTTTGAATGGCTCAAATGTTGTTGCAATCCATGCATCTACCTGTGACGTTCAGGTAAAGGAAGACTAGCAGCTAAGTTTCCATGGCTCGACAACGTGAAGTTGCAGTCCTCTCCAACTACACCCAACAACTCACGGATCTGTAAGCATTCGAGATTCCAAATCGTTGCGAAGGAAAAGATGAAGGTGTCAATTCTTTAGACTGACATATCATATGCTGCTTGACATATATGTATGCATATGGTTTATGTTGGAAGAGGTGGGTATAATAATCTTTTCTATTGCTTTGACTATTTCATGGTACACCGGATGAGAGTTTAGGTTGGATTTCTCATGTCATTGGCATCGAACATCTCTAGGAATCGAATAGTCTAAAGCACACATGGGTGAAATCATGCAAAGACTTGGCAAGCCACAAAGAAATCTGCGTTCGCTTGCTTGCGTGCGTACGGAGTAGAGTACTCCTCCCATTTCTTAGCTGACCATCTTACATGACAGTCTACCGATTACAGCTTCACAAGGCACGCTTTCATACGAAGAAGATGACGAAAACTGTCTTGTCTGCCGTGGCGTGCACAGGTCGCAAGGACGGAATCATGTTGCGGAGGCTTTACGGCGTTTGCTTGTTCCGGCATCACGACAAACACATGAGAGCAACGTGACGGGATCGTGAATCGGACGGCTGCCCAAGGAGTTGCGTCGTCCGATCACGTGATTCGTGATCGAATTGGGTTAAAATCGATTCGACCACGTCGACGCGCCTGTGATGGAGTCCGATCCTTGCACGCTTCTTAACATGTGACTTGGGGATCCCCGCTGCGACTCACGTGCCAAGGAAGATGGGCTTAATCTGGATCCGATCGCATCGAATCGGGTCGAAATCGATTCGATTCGAGTCGACTCGACCACGTGATCAGAATCCAATCCAATCGAATTGAAATAACTTCAAGCCGATTCGACTACATAGATGCACGCATGTGATCGAGTCCTTGCACGCTTCTTAACGCATGATGAACGGAGAGGGATCCGCACCGTGCAATATTCATACTTTGATCATCATTAACTTAATAATAATAAATACGAGCAGTCGCCGGAGAGTGGTTTCTGAAGAGGATGAGCAAGATATGATAGAGTGCATGTCGCCGGAGGAGATCGGCCGGTACCGCGCCGTCGCCCAGCAGAACTCTGTAGAGTCCATCAGGGCGGCCGAGGAGCGGTACGAGAAGGCCAAGCAAGCCGGTGCCGGGGTCCTCCACGGGACCAGAGACACCGTCGCCCATGGCCTCGGTGCTGCGGGGCTCTGGGCCGCCGCTATGGGCACCGAGGCCAAGGACAGGGCTGCTCATGGGGCTCGTGCTGCCGCTGAGTACACCACCGAGAAGGGGTCCCTGGCCAAGGATTACGCGGCTGAGAAGGCCCATGCCGTGGCGGAGGTTGCCGCGTAGCAGGCTTCTTCGGTGAAGGATACGACCGTCGAAAAGAGCCGTCAGGGGCTCGAGGTCGCAAAGGATGCCGCCGTGAGTGCAGGCGAGTCCGCCATGGACTACGCAGAGCAGGCCGCGTTGAAGGCCAAGGATGTCGCTGTGAGTACCGGCGAGACCGCGAGGGAGGCAGCGACGAAGACGAAGGACGCCACGGCGAGTGCGGGCGACACAGAAGGCAGAGGAGGCAATAGAAGCAGCCAAGAGAGCCCTGCGGGCACGGAGAGCAAACGCGGGGCAAGCTAAGGTATACAATTGGGAGAAATCAATTAAAGCGGAAGTCTATGAAATTTGTTATAGAGCATTAAACGTTGGATACATCTCTATTGCTGGTGTAGGAAAGACTGGTATCGAAGACGGAAGAAACGAAGGAAGCAATGGAGGAACTAAATCAGCAAGCAGGACAAGCTAAGGATACGGCCATGCAGACAGGAGAGCGAGCTAAAGATTACGCTGGAGGAACAGCTGCCGAGTTCAAGGTAATGAAAGCTACTGTAATTACCTAAAGACTCAAGAAGCACTTACTACATCATTCATCGTCTTGAGCTTGGTGATATTGATCTGCATTTCCGATCTAAAACACCTATGAACAGTTTGTTAGTACTCGGAACAAGAAGACGATGAACTGTTTTGAATTCAACATTTAAGCCTCAAATTTGGCTACTGGTAAAAACCTGGAGAGGGGACACAGAAGGATAAAGAGAAGAAACCATCCATGGCAGGCAATGAACGCGTAGGGAAGAGGAAGAAACTAGGCACGCAAAGAGCTCACATCAGAGAGTGAATGAATGAATGCATTAGGTAGCAGCTAGTTTGCAACAAATAGCCTACGCTTCTGTGCTGTATCAGGTAACGTGAATAGATTGATGAAGTCATATGGATCAAATGGGTTTGTGCTACCTTTGCAGGCGTAGACGCATGCATGGTTGTGCATTGCCTAGCAGCCGGATGTGGACTTGCAATAAAGCTTCTGCCGGTTGTGATTTTGGAGTTGTAGGTGGAGGGTGCGAGCTTTGTTCTTGAGCTCCTGGAAAGCTCGCATTGTTTCCGCATCAAAACCTCCTGCAAACTGGTGGTGATCATAGAAGAAAAACCTCATTACAAGTCCATATTCGCAAGACAAAATTTTTTTTCTTTTTATCCATGAAATGTGATTGCTTCTGTTTAACCGGAATCACCTGGTGTACTCTGAAGGCAAATCTAACACCCTGAAGCATGAGTTCCTCTTCTTCAGGGTTGCCTGCTATGATCTCCAGCTCAGAAGAGACTCTTTTCATGTACTTCATTGCCAGTTTCCCTGTTGCTACCTTGATCTGAATGTATATATAATCATGTTATAAATTGGTTGTGAAGTCATTAATTGGCCTTTTGATGCTTCAGATTGCCAACCGAACTTGGAAAAAAAATAAAAAGAGGAATACCAAGTTGACTGACGCATCCATAAATTGTTATAGCTGTGTATGTGCCACCAGAGAAAAAACCCTAAAACTCTTAGCAATGGTAGAGAGTAGCCACAAACGCTGAAGAATCAGATTCTCTGATCATGATGAGTTCATTAAGATCACACCAAGTAACAGATGCTCGAGATTAGTATCTCTGATTTCAAACTCTAAATCAAACCGATCAACCTATCGAGTTACAGTTCTTTAAGTTCAACTTATCCAAACTGATTCCAAACCTAGCCAGTGCTTGTATCCTTGTGTGCGTAGAAAGTTTACATTTAAATACCATTAGATATCAAACTTAGAACAAATGCAACATTACACAATTCTAAATCAAACATCTGTTAGGAATGAAAGAGTAAGGAAACGATAAAAACAGAATACTACGATGCAATTAAAAAGAATCATTTCGATCAAGAAAACCGATGTAGTATTTAAACAAGAGGATGGACATATAACACTTACAAAATATTCCCAAGTGTATACTTCTTATCTTGCATAATGAACTATGATCCTATTTATAGGACCTAGTGGTAACTACCTCACTCCACCATGTCACCCATGATTGAATTAGGTGTAGAAACCACCCTATTACGTTTAGATTATGGGTCACTTCTTAAAACATGCCTATAACTATCTAGAACATGATAACTACCTAGATGACTACTATGAATCAATTCTCAACAACATCATGCTACCATATGCTTAGAACAAGAAATTGCCCAAACAAAATTTCGATAGGTAAATAAGCAGAATTTGGACATCTTCCTCACTGCGTTTTACATGTTTAACTACCTCTGTAAGACTTGTATCTAGATTGACTAGAGAAGAGGTCCATAGATGTGTGGGTGAGTCAACCAAAAACTATTATTGACTACAGTCTATAATAGTTTACCTCGTATATGTCACTTGTTGATTTGACTACAAGATTGTAGCTGTCGTTGAGGCTAAATCTTGATCAGAACCACTACCAAGTTAATAAACACAATAAAAGAACGACATCGTATCCCCTTTCAACACTAACCAGACTTTCCATTTAATCATCACTACCCTTTTCATTGCTAGGATTAACAGATCATGTACAAAATAATGAAATGCTAATGTAAGCCACATGGCAAGAAAGGCGCTTCCTATCATCTTCAATCCTAATCAAACTAAAACATGAACTTGTGGCCTTATGACAAAAGAACGCAGAGAACCTGACGAGATCAGTGACACTACCTTACTGTCAAGAACCTTACTGTCAAGAATCTTAGAATTCACAAGTACGGTGGTGATCTACAGTGCAGTCCGTGTATGTCCTCCCTCCCCCACCCCTCTCTCTCTCTCTCTCTCACTCTCTCTCTCTCTCTGAATGAAAACCATCAATGGCCCCTCGTTGATTCCTCGGTAACGTGAGGAAGCGAATGCATACGGCAGAATTATTCTTGTTGTTATTATTCTACAATTTCCAGCTAAATATCTCCAACGTAGAAGAAACAAAGTTCTGCACACTGTCATCCTGTTTCACGTGTGCGCCCCTTTGGTAAATTGGCCTGTCTCCAGATCTAAGTTTGTCCTTGGCCACCTAGCGTTCTGGTCCTTTGTTCATCAAAAGAAAGATAACGTTGCACGCCATTGAACTAAGATGAAGAGACGAGCAAAGCCTGGTGAGTTACCTGGTTAACGTATCCGCTCTCCAGCATCCATTCCCAAGGAATACCAAACCCCTTGTTCCTCTTCGTGGCAGCTTCCCTTGCACGTGAAAGGTTGTATACACCTCGCTCCAATCTATCAAATAATATTAGCATTCTCAGTTAATAGCCTGGTTGGAAACAGAACAAGAAGGGGGGGTGGGTGGGTAATGAATACTTGTCCAAGAGCGACTGCATCTTCTTGAGAGAGGAAGAGCAGGGCTGGCGAGGGTCGTCGCGGAACGACGACGCCTCCGACTCCAACTTCTTGAGGTCGCAGTAGCCGAAGGCCGCCTCGCGCATGGCGTCCGCCTTGTGCTCCGGCCACTCGAAGTGCTTCAGCACCGCTCTCTCGTCCACCTGCGACGTTCATCACCCGATAACCCAACACACCACATCAATCTATTTGCCCAAAACAGAGATTCTGAAGAAGAATACCAGGAAGGAGAGCTCGTCGTCGAGCCATTTGACGAAGGTGACCACGTCTTCGACGTTGGCGAACGCCGCGTGCTCCACTTCCTTGATTAAGAATCTAATGAGGTCGCCCTGCGTCTCCACGTCCGTCTTTATCTGCAATTAATCGAGCAATTAAGACCGCAATTAAAAGAAGTGGACAAAGTAATTAACCCTTATGGTTCCGATCCGCTGTTTGATAACTGGCAAGATGTGTAAAGAAGCACCAACGAGTTGTTGCCACGTACACATGAGTACAACGAAACACATGTACCAACGGTCAAGTGGCACCGGTGACGGTTTCGAGGGAGTGGGGGAGGGGAAGGGGACTTACGGCGAGGAGGTGCGCGGAGCGGTTCTCGATCTCGCCGATCATGTCGCGCGCGTTGGAGACGGATGCGGCGGCGGGAGGCGCCTCCTGCACTCCGCCGCAGGACTCCCTCCTGGAGTCCCGCCGCATAAGGGAGTGGTAGAATTCCACCACCTCCGGCACCCGCCTCACGCTTGCTGCCGCCGACCTGGACCCCAGCGTTGGCGGCGGGGGAGGTGGAGGCGGAGGAGGAGGCCGCGCTCCGCCTTGCGGTGTGGATTTTACCGGTGGGGCTGGCGGCGGGATCGGCGGGAGGCACGCCAAGCTGGGGCCTTTGCTTGTTGCGACGCGGGACGTGGTATGGGAAGAAGACGACGAAGAAGATGAGTTCGAGGGGTTACAGGACATCGAAGGCGTGGGCGGGGGTTTTGGAACCCTGGATGCTCGGGGTCTCAAGACCTCTTCCTTGTCGCCGCCGTGAGGCTGTTGATGCACCCCCTCGATTACCCCTCCATCCGCCTTCGGATTTCTGCATTCTGGCCTTTGGACCTCTTGATTGGGAACAATGTTGGCGGATTTGGGTGGTTTGCGCAGGCTTTTGAGGAGATTCGATCTCGCGGAAGCGTCAATGAGGCCTTGGAACCTCTGCGACGACGAGCACTCGTCCATCTCCCCTGTCCCGGCGCATAGCCGCCCATTGCCCTGCTCCGAAGCCGCCTTCTTCAGCTCGTCCAACTCTTTTTCGAGATCATTGATCCTCCTCTCCCTCCGCTGGTTCTCCTCTTCGCCGCTCCGTATCTCAGAGCTCAAGCCCTCGACTTCGTCCTTCAGGGCCCGGTTCTCCCCCTCCAGGCGCTCGATACGGTCACCGGCCCGCACCAGCTCCTCGCGCTTGTCGGCGATCTCCTTCTCGAGGAAGGGCACGATGGCGACGGTCTCCCTGAGGAGCTTCTGCTCCAGGAGCTGGGTGCGGAGACGGGACTCCTCCTCCTGGAGCTCCTCCACCAGGCGAAGCAGCTCAGCGACGTAGGGCGGGCGGGGCTGGACCTGGCCGGAGGCGCGGGGGAAGTAAACGCCGAAGGATCGAGCGAACGCGGCGGTCGTCGTCTGATGACCCCCCTCCGCCGCCGGCGACGACTTTTGGGAGACCGGGGAGGAGGAGGGGGAGCGGCGGGGCGTCGCCATCTTAGGCGTGGCGGGGCTGCGACGGAACCCCATGGCGGCCTTCACCTTTCCCGCGACCATCATTCATAAGCCTTTCTGGGTGTTGTAGCGCGAGAGAGAGAGAGAGAGTGAGGACTTCTCCTCTGCCGCTGCTTTTGTTTCGTTTTGCCGGGTGATACAGTGTTTGAAATAATGGCGATGTAAAGGGTCAAAGGTGGGAAAAGCATGGTGTTCTGTTGTCCCTTCGACTCTATATGCGTTAATGAGTTCCAAATTTCTACATATGGTGTATGTGAATGGATGCATAAAGCTAGACCGGAATAAAAATTTGAAAGCAGAGAAAAAGTCACCGAAGCTGGCGCTACAGCAGGCTTTGCAAAGCAAAGCGAGCGCTGGGCGATCGATTCGGATTCAGGTGTCTGCCCGCGTGCGCCATGATGTCGAATTCTATTCAAATTAGCCTGCCGTAGCCCCATGATGGCCCCCGTTTTTACTGGGAAATGCGTGGTTGGGCCCGAGACAGGCAATGACCATCGCGGACCATCCAATGGAGGAGCGGGCTCAGGTGTGTGAGAGAACATCGCGTTCCCTGTCTGGGTGATACAGGCGAACGGGCTCAGGTGTGTGAGAGAACATCGCGTTCCCTGTCTGGGTGATACAGGCGAGCTCCAGCCGCCAAATGATGCTCCTTTGGGCCCCGCTCGACCACCAATCAGAGACTGGTGGAGACCTGCTTGCCGTGTTGGTTGACCATATTTCTTTTTCTCCTCTCCTTTCTGTTCCTTTGTCACTTTCGTATACTAAAAGAATTCTGTGATCATCTTCTGCAAGGGCATTTATCAGTCTAATTTAAAATATATAATAATCTTTTTTAAATTACCTAAACTTTTAAATGATTAAAAAAATTAGTACCATATCAGGGAAATATTTATTTGCTTCCCACTTATTCTTCATTCGAACATGCATTATATATTTAAAATTTTATATATTTTTCCAGTAATTCGGATATAAAGAATCAAATTAATCAGTCAATATGAAGAATGAATAATCTTTAAAGTAGAATTTATTTACCAGCGGAAATCAGAGAGGGATTTGTTCACTAGCGGCTGGTCTTTCCCAGCTGAGCAGGAATCTTTGCATCAACGGAATCCAGGCCCAAAGGCAGCAGGATGCGAGCAGATCTGATGGGCACGCTGTTCTCTCGTTCCTTTCTCTTCTCTTTTAGCCTGCCTTTCCTCGACTTCGTAGCTTTCCTGTTGCAGAACCCATCAGATAAAGCGTTAAAAGCTGATAATGGAGAAGGTTGCAGTGGTTGGCACCACCAATTCCTAGAGAGGTATAGCTGACGAGGTCTCGTGATTTGGAGTCATGATCACAGTGTGTCTGTGATCTTAAAAGTGGAAGCTGTGGAAATAGAGTCAAAATCGAGAGGAGAGTGAGACCGAATACACAACTGTGGTGGTGTACACATACTTCCAGGAGGTAAGCTTGTACTTCGAGCTCCTACCGGTGTGAAGTGAGCAGGTCCTTCCGATTCCCTATATCAGAGCCGTTCATTGACATGTGAATGGATCCGTAGATCCTTGGACCAAGTGCACATGTGACACTGCAAAGTCATGAGTACTACCGAGAACAAACTATTCCTAGCCTCCATGAAACACAGCCGTCATGTTTTCCTTTTCGACTAGACATATGATCGAACACCTTAAATGCGGTTTGTTGTATTAACCATAGTGATCATATGATCGCTTCTATGTAGAACAGAGGAGGAGGAGAAGACTCACCGCATTTGAAAGGATTGATGATGCTTCCGCCGGAGCAGAGTATTGTGGTATCAGGACAAGGCGTTGAACCTCATCATGTACCCGGTTCTGGAGCCGTGGTCCTCCGGATTGCAGGTCTTATAGAGCGTCAGGTAAGGCGGGAAGCCACGCCGTGGCCTATCAATCTCCGGATTGCACCAAACCCTATCACCGACATGGTTTCGATCACGTCCATGCCGTTCGCGACGACTTGGGTGACATGGTACGGGAATACTCACTTCCGATACGAACCTACCGGTGAAGAGATTTGCCCAAGAAGTCCCTGCAGTCTGCAGCCTCGGATGTCAAGCTTGGATTGCGGACCGCACATCCAAGACGACGATGGGGCAAGCGGCTCGATTGCGACCTTGCAGCGCGCCGCCAGCCGGAGAGCAATAGCTTCACCCAGAGGGCCTCGTTCCTGGAAGAAGTCGAACGGGAGAGTCCTGACAGACGACGGAGTCGACCTTCTCGGCCGTGTTCGGCGGCTGGTGCGACAGCACGATCAAGCAGATCGGAGATCGAGAGTAAGCATCTCGCGAGCAAATAAGCAAACGCAGACGGCGGATAGGGTGAAGTGACGACTGATCGATACTTCGTGCGAATGATTTGATGCGATCACCGACTGTAATGATACCAATCGAAACCAGAAGCATAAAATAAATAAATAGTAATAATTTTTAAATAACACCTTAAATATTAATTTGATGAATAATGTATCTATTAATTTAAATATTTAAAAATTCATTCGATATATTTTCGAAAGTGACTCTGAATTCTATATTCGTAACTTATCGTTAAAAATAATAATTTTTAAATAACAAAATTGATTAGTCATATTGATTTGAGGTTAAAATAGGATTCCCATTCACTACAGGTGATAGGATTTGCAATGAGGCCAATAGATACTTGCTTGGACCAAGAAAATAAGCAATTGGGCCTATGATCCTAATTCACATGGACCTCAGTAACTCAAGGATTATAAGCATTAAAAATAGTTATATAACTTATTTTTCTCATAAAAATATTGAATTAGTATCAAATTATGTTAACACGGAGTCATCGATTTTAAAAATTCATTAGAGCCAAGGTTCATTAAAAAAAAAGTGAGTAAAAAAATATATTAAATATTATTATAAAATCCTTCTAAATTTATGTGAGAGAATGAACAAGAAAATTTATGTTTGAGTGGGGATAACTCAAGCATCTTATATATAATTGATCTTGTATGGTGAATAATTTAGCCTTTTTCATGAATATAAATAAAAAATTATCAACTCATATTAATCTTGTGTGTACTTTTTAGTATATTTTTTATTATTGATCTTTATTTTTTATTTTAAAATTTTTCTCTCTCTTTCGAAAGGTGAATAGGAATCTTGTAACGAAGGTGATGAGGATTAGAAAAGACTTCGACTGAAGTTGATAGTAGTACAACCTCCAATATAATCCAGATCAAACCCTAGCATAGGCTCGTCATACCTAAATACTAGGTCGGCTTTGATACTAAATGTCTATATCAAATCGTATCATAGGCTCACCATTCTTAAATATTTAATACTAAATATCATGACCGGTCTGATAGGTTAATTGGTCTATCAATTTCATTTAGTCTAAACCACTGATCAAAATACTTAAACTGAAGTTGATAGTAATATATTTATCAAATTCTTATAAGTCAATTTAATCTCATTGGGACTAATTAGGGTGTTACATAAATAGATATCAATAACTAGAATTCTCACCACCATAGATATTATTTTTGAGTTTGGACAGGCTCTGGGATGGAATGAACTGGCTTTGGTTCGGTGGTAAGGATGGATGGATGTGGCTGGATCAAGAAGAAAGGAACGCTTAAAGGGGTGTGGGTGTGGATGTGATAGAGAAGAAAGCCAACGCAGTGTAAAGAGGTATGGTCATGCATCATCTGATTCCTCGTGCTGGAGGCAACGATGAGAAGAATGGGAAGCCATGCACTGCATTCACACTGTAAGCCACTAGCCCCATAGCTTACCCTCAAACTACGAAAATGATGACATATGATATAATACTCTTATTTAATTAACATTTATAAAATAAAATTTGATTAACATAAAAAATCACCTATGAATTTAAATTTATCCATCAAATATATTTCTGTTAGAGTTCAAATGATATGATCGATATGTCAGCACCATACGCTAGCGTGTTAACTCAACTTTGATTGATACGATCATTCATCGTCACATCCACGTCTCATAGATGCCCTCTAAAAATATTATATGAAGGGTAGTTATGCATTCCTAGATTCGACATAAGTTGATGATAGTTATGATTGAACTTCACGCCCTCATTATTATATGAACCGCATAACGAGCGAAAGTAACGATCTCAATACCAACTATAAAAAGGGGATGCACATAGAATAATTCAAGTTTGACTTATCCGACTAGATCACTAACTTAAACTTCGAATGAGCATTATCGAAAATGCCCTCGATGTAGTTTTGCAAGGGTTCAAATACTACTTGAAGGAATTCACCTTGATACCTTGGATCTAGATTGGATTTGAATCAATATCCAACTCCAACAACCAAAACATGCTTTCACAATTACAATAACCAAAGCGTGACACATAGATCTTGGTCGACTAGATCTAGAGTAAAATCTTCTAATTGTATAGAGTAAAAACAAGTTGAGGAACTAAAGAATTCTAATTCTAATTCTTCCTTATACACAAAATCTTCTAATTGTATAGAGTAAAAACAAGTAGAGGAACTAAAGCATTCTTTACTATTTTTTATGTTAAATTAATTTTAATTTGAGCGTGAGAGATCTCATCTGACATGCTTTTGGTGTAAGTCATCAAGAATTTTACATACGAGGCTTATCAACCTCCAAATCTAAGTCAACATCAACCACTTCAAGAAATGTCGGTCTAGAAATCCACATCAAAAGAGAATTTATTTGGAGTTCGAAAGTTAAAGACGACCTCATTAATATTCACAATGTTCATTAAGGATGTGAATGATGTAGATAATAGAATAGGTGAATTGAATAAAGAATCAATGTGCAAGCTAATGTTAATTAGCATATGTGGATTCCGAGGATGATCCATATAATATGATTATGTGACCTTTGTACTATGAACTAGACTTGATTATTATATAAATTTTTATGTATCTTTAAAAAGTAATTTTTTAATTTTTTTTGCCTCGACAACGTAGTTATTAAGGTTTCAAAAATAAATAAATAAATAAATATATATATATATATATATATATATATATATATATATATATATATATATATATGTGGGACAATGTTGTTTATGTCCGAGTCTGTCCAAGGTGGTTCTGTATAGTCCAAAGTAGTTTTGACGCATATGTATAGAGGTAATCGAAGTGTGACTGAGGTACCTCCAAAGTAAAAATGCCAGTCTCATGATGTGTCACTTGCACAAAGACCAAGGTTAAAAGAGATTTTCTGATATAATCTTTCTAACATTCAAATTAATAATCCAAG